TTAAGGTGCCGGGACAGTGCATCAAGTTCCACCACGGATAAACCTGCAACCTGTACTACCCAGTGCAACAGGAGACCCTGTGTGTACGTGACCCGCGGAACGGGAGACCTCTGCGGTAATGCAGTTATATCTGCAAACTTTAAACGACAATGCGAAAACCCTGGTAGCCACAAAGTCCGTTACTACTACCGGGCACCTGTGACGTTAATAAATGTAGGGTGTCACAGAGTAACTACCCCCCCTCTCCACTTTATCGCTCCTGGAACTATTCACTATATAATTAGATATTGTTCAGTAAGTACCGCGACTAACCACTGTTTGGACGACCAGGGTAAAATTTCCGATATGGAAGGGGATTTTTCTGGTCTCCAACGCGTCCATATAAACTCCGATATCCATCCATTCTCCTCTCCAGTAGGTACTAGATATTGTTTCATGGGAGTAAAGTGGCCGGAGCGTGAAGCATAAGCTGTGATGTAGTGACGAGAGTAAGAATGCGAGGAGCTTTATTCTATTTCCTTAAACGTCTTCGTAGCATACGGTTTAAGCACAAGGGAAAGTTTACTTTACTTTTTAAAGCTTTTCATTATGGACTGCTACTCAGAGAACTATAACGGAGTTCATTTACACAGTTTTTGTATGTTTCTGGTTCAGATATGAAGTTCTTGGCATGAATTTCTTATTGGTCGGAATTGAAATTCGTCGTGTATCCCGCTGTAAGCCAAATATTGCAGAGAAAGCTGAAAATCGAATTTTAAATTTAAACTTCCGGGCACATCGGTTCCGGATTTATTAGTAGTTATTCATAAACATTTCGATCATGAATGACAGTCACACATTCGACTTATTTCAGGAAGAAAAAAGAAAAGCTACAATAGATGATTAATAGCCAAATATTTTCTGCTATCAACAACCGCTATATTAGACAGGAATTTAGTTGTAATAACTTGTTTGAGATATACCTTGAAGTTATGGCTTTTAGTCCGCAAGCGAACTATACCGACCGAGTGACCGCCGCTTTCGGCGAAGTTAGTGCCAACTTTAGCGGATAGAGGGTGTCGCGTGGTCAGCGCAAAGGATTCCCACGGCCGTTAATCTCGGTTTTCTAGACCGGAGCCGCTACTCTTCCATTCAAGTAGCTTCTCAATTATCCTAACGAGACTGACTGGACCCCGTTCCAGACCCATTACTTCTCAAAAAATCTGGTAGCGCCGGGAATCGAACCCGGGAACTATAGATCTGTAGCCAAGAACTCTGACCACTACACCATAGAAGCGGCCGAAGTTATGACTCGTTTCATAAGTAACATTCCATGCGGCCATGACATTTACTGGCCAAGGCCAAAAACATGTTCAGAAGCACTGCCCTAAAAATATAATGTACGCAGTGAAAATGGTACAAAATGAAGTCAATTAAAAGAAAACCGCGGTGGAGATTGGCTGAAACAAGTACACATAGCCACTACTTCACCTCAGGGCTCCCGTTTGAAATGAAAGCGTATATTGGAACGATAAGGAATGTCACATGCCACACGCTCATGAAGACGGCCTGGTCGAGGCACAGAAATGGAACAAACGGTGACATATTCAATGCGAAATGCATTGCGTTTACGTGACAACGAAGAGTAGGAACAGAACGAACTAAAATACGAGGTACTCAGACACTTGGTCACTGCCTAAGCAAAAATACTACAAAGCGGGCGTTATTTAATTTCTCGCCTTCAAACGTTTTATGGACGCTATTCTCATATATACAACAAAATTAATTACACGAAGATAATTTACCGCCTTAAAAGCATCGAATTAAAAAATTCGTAAATTAAAACTGAATTTTGTGTAACCTCTATCTTTAAAGCAGTTGAAGGTTTCAGTAACCGGGCCGGAATTGAGAGAAAAGGACAGGTCTTATGGAAGATTTGAAGTTTTCATGGCAACTGGATATAAAGAAGTCTTCTCGAATGGATCAGCGGAACAGAGTTAGTATCCAACGTTTCGGAGCCTCTCTGTGTCCCCATCATCAGGGGGTTGATGTTACAGATGATATCACTGTCCGTAGTAGATCAACCCCTGAGGAAGTGGACAGAGACAGTCTTCGAAACGAAGAGTACTATCTTCTTGGATATGACGCGGAATAGTCCGGTAGAAGTTCACCAAGGTTTCGAAGGAACAGACTGCTTCCATTCCCAGGGTCGAAGAGTAAGCCAAGCAACTCTGCCTGCTGCTTGTTTCTTGCTGGCTACTTGCTTCGCTTACTCTTCGACCCTCAAGATAGAGGCAGTCTGTTCCTCCGAAACACAGGTGAACTACTACAGAAATATAAGCTTCACATTCCAAGAGACAGTAGTCATCACGCCCACTGCTGTGAGAACCTCAAATCGAAGACTCACTCACTCACTCACTCACTCACTGAGCTGAGCCCTTCGTGAGAAGATCACAATTGTGCAGCTACTCAACAACTTCACAGCATTTTATGAAACCCGAAGGCTCATTACCGTGTTCACAAGAGCCCTCGAGCGGTCCCTAATCTGAGCCAGATCAATCCAATCCACATCATCCCATCCTGTCTCTCTGAGATCCATTTTAATATTGTCCACCCACCTACGCCTTGGTCTTCCAAGTGGTCTCCTTCCTTCCGACTTTCCCACCAATATCCTATATGCATTTCTCCTCTCCTCATTCGTGCTACATGCCCTTGCCCACCTCATCCTCCTTGACTTGATCATTCTAATCCTCAAATCGAAGACAGTCTTCGAAGAGTTGGCTAATAACTACATTTTCATGCGACTTGTGCCCATAAAGGCTTTACTGCAACACAGAAAAATGGAGACAATCAAATATGCAGTGGTATCCGCATTTTCATGCAAGGTCGTATTCAAGAATTCAATGTTGCGCACGTTACGAAATTTGCAACCCTGAGGCAGCACAATGGCTACGTCACACCCGTCCCTCTTACTAAACTGACACATATATGCTACGTCACGCCCGCTGTCTGGTCATTTATCAAGGAACTGGGTCACACCAACAGAAAAGCCTTAAAGAAGAACTTTTTCAACACACAGACCATAAACTGAATAGGCCTTCCGAGGAAGAGTATTTCGATATCAATAACAGAGCGAATATAAACACAAGACATGCTAAGATACATGACGTAATAGCAATAAAAGAAACTTTAACACAACGCATTAAAATGTAAATGGCTTATTCCGTTCATTTCAAACGCTTTCTGATGTAAACAGCGTGAGATTCAGTGTTCAGGTATTACTCGAGACACCACAAGAAAACAGACACTCAGAAATAGGAAATGAAACATTTCTCGATTTTATTCAGGTAACATTGGCATAATAGGCAGTGTGTTGAAATGCCGGGCAACATTATTCTACTGACTAATAAAGGAGGCCAGATTCCACCCACAGACTCTGAAACCCAGAGCTCCGCCCCACTGCAGGCGCACTGGTAATGGAACAGGCCATTTGGCACAATCGATTACTCGAATTCTTGGTTCTGTCTCAACTGAAGAAATCGGTAAAGCTTTCAGAACGTTTGGATCTTTACAAAACTTAAAAAAACACTCGCCTGGCACAGGACCTCATTATCATAAACACTACAAATAAATCTTGCATCAAGAAACGTAGATCACTGACTGGTATATTATACGTATGTCTTGTGTGATCAAGCAAGCAAGAGAAATCAGTTACATTCGTAACCTAGAGCATAAATTTGCGGATTAAAGGCGTGCTGTTCACAGCTAAAATAGCTAATTTGAAAAACAAATAATTTAGGCAGAAATAACATCAGGTTTCGTGCCAATCTAAAGACGGGTTTAGAATGTGAACAAATCAATGTTATTTTATGTTCTTTGCACCGAAAATGAATGCATTTAAAGCGGGTCGTTTTTGTATGTCTTTCCAACTGCCTGCGTGTTTCAACTCGAGAACAGTTGCACAGATACTGCTGAAATCTAATATGGACAAAATGTCATTGGAGGCAAACCCCAAACTCATACTTTCAATTTCCTGCAGTCAGTAACACCAATATGACGGGCGTACGAATTTGTGACGTGACAGGGTTACTAGAGCCACATAATACTGAGTCCTGAGATTATGTACGGTAACAAATATTTGAAAAATATGCAAATTTTATTATGTTTTCATTTTTGTAAAATATGACACAACAAAATGGCGGATGAATGAAATTCATATTTAGCTTTCGATTTGATAACAATAGCTAATGAGACACTGGAGTTAGACAAGGGAAATCTGGTACTGAGGCAGATCATATATACACCTGAAAATTCTGTATCACATATTGTTCTAAGTAAAAAATTAGTAGGAAAAAACATGGCGACGTGAGCATCTTTGATGTTATACTTGTTAAGGCTAGGGGCATACAGCATGTAAAGGTGCAAAGAATGCCTGGGGATAGTCTGCTTCTTCCGGTACACATTACACCCGTCTGTTCTGGTTATTTTCTTGTAATTGACAGGGCCAATATTAATAAATAATTAGAACTATTACTGAAGCAACAAATCAATTTTCTACTGTTCTCTTCCAGTGATTAATCAATTAAGACATATAATCTCTGGCCAGAATTCTTCGAACCGCAGAATGCACAATATTGCTTTAAGTTGCTCCGCATATTATAGACTAAATGCAATGTTTCGTCTGCGTACTTGTCTTCGTTTTAAACTATGAAAATTCATGTCTGTCTGTGATGGATAAAAAACCATTAAAATTGAAGAAGACAGTCTTCTTGGTTGTGGCGCCGTGTAGATATTGTGTTAAACGACGTTTCGGAGGAACGTATCGCCTCCATCTTCAGGGTACAAGAAAATGAAGAAATCCCCGAGCGAACCAGCGTGAGCCGACTGTTCCACATGCTCACGCTGTTTCGCTCGCGGATTTCTTCATTTTCTTGTACCCTGAAGATGGAGGCGATACGTTCCTCCGAAACGTCGTTTAACACAATATCTACACGGCGCCACAACCAAGAAGACTNCCATTAAAATTCTAAACAAAAATTTTCGTAACATCGGATTTCGAATATAATGTAGCCTATTGTAATAATAACCGTTCTCTGTGGATAATTATAATCGCCTTAAATTTATCAACTGATTAATGATAAACGGTTATTTGACTGAAATACTACTCGATCGAATGCCTTATTTATATCTTAATTCCAGTAAACACTTTGTGTTATATTCGACGAAAGGAAAAACTGAAAATCAACAAATTAACATGCTTTACGGGTATATAAACCGATGGGAAAAACTAATTTTGAACCGGGTTATGGAGCTTCATGTAATTTTTAATTTTATTTTGAACTCCAATAACAGTAAATTCTGAATAGGCTGAGAAACACTTTTACACTCTGCATTTAAATTATGTGACAAGAGAACGTATTGTGGCTGACTCTTTTTATATCATATTGTAGCGAGTGCAGTCATTGCTGCAAGACAGGAGATTAGACAACGACCGTTTACGAGTAACGGCCGGTAAACACTTGAACAAAACCCGATCTATTGCTAGGCAACTGCTCAGTGGGCGGGTTGCCGCGGAGATGAACGCTCACGCAACAACAAAAGAACTGTCATTTCTATGCAACGGCGAGGTAAACACACTTCTATAACAAGAGGTATTGTTGGGAATGCTGTTTCCTATTCGGTCCATGCAAAGTGGTTATAAAGAAGAGAGATGAGGTTTGGCACTTCAGTTGAGCTCTGCGAGGAAGGCTGAAATGTTCAGTTGTGGGTTATTCGCTGAACAGTAACGACGTCAGCACAGGAGCGGAAGAATCGCCATGTTTAAGACCCGTTACTAGAAAACGACTAGTGAAAACGGACTGAGAAGACTTAGTGTTCGCAGCAGTGGTCTGTAAAGTGTGGGGATTAGCGATATAATTATTTGCAGTTACGACCTGTAAGTCGTCAATAATTCTTAATTATCCAAAACCCCGTCTATAGTCACACCCATGTACGTGACAATATTCACTTCAACATGAGCAGGAATAGAGTATATGCCATTAACAACATGCCTTTCGTTAACGTAAGTTTGATGTTAGAAATTTCAAATCAGGACACTGATAATACGAGCCAAATCTTCTGGTCAGGAAGTCACAGATCTTCTTTTGTAGATGATGGAGGAGTAGGCTTTATAAGGGTTGAGTCCTCTGTGTCGCTGACGTAACCCTCCTCCCCAGTGTAGTGGGTGGGGTACACAAGAAGCGGAGCCGCTGAGAGGGCCACCAGGTCCCGGTGCGGAAAGTAGCCTTTCCACGTGTCTCTGAAACACGAGGAAATAGTTCCACAGTCTGCTTCAGCAGTGAATGTTTATTGGGACTCACGCAATCCGCAAGACAGCCAGACAGCTGCCATTAGCATTACCATGCATTCAATATGTTCCACGAAGCAACGTGCTGCGCTCGAGATGTACATGGAGATCATCACAGAAATTGCGATTAATGACTGATGTATTATATAAATCAGTCAAGTACGTGTTGTTCATTCCGAGGTTTCTTGAAATAAACTATATCAATAAAATAACGAAACTACTTAATTATAACAATTTTATGAATACATATTCCCGTTTTATATTATTTATTGCCGTAGAGCTGCATAGTGATCGGTTTATTCAGGAAACGGTTGCCACGCAACAAACCAGCCTAGACATAAATCGGTTTCAAGCTATAAAAACAACCGTGATCGCACAGCAATGAGACTAGCGACGGCGGTAGGGTCGAGTAAATTGCTGCTGGTTCTCGCCAGCACAGTGAGAGTTGTGAGATAGTAAAATATGGGTCCTACGACAATCTGAACCAAGGATCACTCTACTGGCGAGAACCAGCAGTAATTTACCCGACCCAGCATGGCGAGGAGATGTTGTGAGACAGTAAAATATGGTCATGAGTCCCGGGGGCTTGGAACCAAGAATGACTGTAGTGGCGAGGACCAGCAGCAATCTACCCAACCCAATCCAGCACAGTCAATCCTGGTTTCGGGTCCTGTCAGGACGCATGACTAAATATTTGTTGAAGAATGCCGTATTCTAGGATTTGGCGCCGTGTAGATATTGTATAAACCGACATTTTGGAGGAACGTATCGCCTCCAGCTTCAGGGTAGAAGAAAGAAAAAGAAAAAATCCGGGAGCGAGGAACCAGGGTGAGCAGGACGGCAGCCACATGCTCACGCTGGTTCCTCGCTCGCGGATTCTTTTTTTTCTACTCTGAAGACGGAGGCGATACGTTCCTCCGAAACGTCGGTTAACACAATATCTACAAGGCGTCACATCCCAGAAAGCTGCATTCTTCATAGTCACCGCCGTATAAACCAAAAATCTTACAAATATTTTGTTCCTTCTATGACTTTTACGTATTTTGAAATGGGGCCCCTTCTTCGGCGACAAGAGGGGTCTGACACACACACACACATACACAACCTCGTCATAGAGACGGCGAGAATCGGATGGGGTTTTATACACAACTACATCATTAATGAATGAGATAAATGTGTATAGACTTAAATTAGATGCATGTCTGGCCCCCAGTTTCGTCACCGGATACTCCGGTCCATTCGCATGAGGCAGCTACGCCATTCATTTGATAGGGAAAGACATACATCTCCATAAGCCCTCGGTATTCTTACGAAAATTTATAGATTCATATTTCTTTGCAAATGAAGCCCTCTTCTTTCACTCCTGAAGCTTGCAGTAAGCTTCTAACATTCCCAATATATCTTCCTTGGAGTATCTGCGGCCTCCAGCTTGTTAAAAGCCTTCTTCACTCTTTCTGTATTTTTGGTACATTATTTGCGAAACCAAGTGCCCTTCCTTTTGCTAATTCAACCTAGCATATCCACGGTTACATCTTGCTCCTCTTTGACATCACTTCATACAGCTGAGTTAGTTTTTTATAAACCTACAGTTGTTTAGCTGGTCAATAAATTTCCCTATTTATGGAACCCAAAAATTCCTTATCGTGTTCAGAATCTCCTTATTAAATCATGTTCTGACTCTCATATCTTATTAACATTGTCCTCTGATTTACATCAATATCTGCCTCGTGGTCTCCTTCCCTCAAGTTTATGCCTAAAATTTCATATATTTCTATGTTCCCTCATACTTGCTCTCTGATAGTCTATATCCTACGAGTAAGCTGATGATGAGTACTGATTATGAAACTCCTCTTTATGTAACTATCTCTGTTCTCGTGTTCCTTCTTCTACTGTCGCTTTTTTTTCCTTGGCACTACAGCCCCAGTGGACCTAGGCCTACCTCCATGAACTTCTCCGTTCACTTCGGTTTTTCTAGATCTTACACATATGGTAGGACTCCTTGGGCGGGTGATCAGCTCGTCGCAAGGCCTCTACCTGTAGACAAACACAGAAAAACGCACACAAACATCCATGCCCTGAGTGGGATTCGAACCCACGATCCCGGCTTCCGAGCGCGCGAAGACAGTGCACGCCTTAGACTGCTCGGCTACCGTGACCGGCCTATTGTCTCTTAGTCTCGAATATTCTCCTCAGTACCGTGTTTTCAAACACCTTCAATCTGTTATCTTTATTGTGACCCTAATACATATGGAGCAGAACCTACTAGCTTAATTAAAAGCAGCTCAACCTATTACGCAATCTGAGTTTCTGCTAGTTTTAATGACCCTCATATTCTTATCTGCACCTTTCATTCCTTCTGTGTCTAGTTAACTTAGAGCCACGAACCTTAGGGGCATCACATGAAGTCCCAGTTGCAGGGCCTCCCAGTGTCACTACTTGAAGACCTAATAATACATGCTATTATCCTTTAAGCCTACCACAGCCCAAATTTCCGTATTCTGTGAATGGAGTAGGTTCCTCAGAAGGGGCACAGATGTTCATGTACAATGATGATAACAGAGAAACTACAACATAGCGTGCATCTCTGGCAGAATCGCTACTTGCTCCTGTGGTCCTTAAACCATCAAATCACAGAAACAGTAGGAGGCATGGCGTGAGACTATAACTAATAATGGAGAGCATTTAAATTGAATGAGTCCTAAGCATTCGCTTTAAGCATAGAAACGCTCTGAATAAGACAATCTCTATCTTAGAGGGTACAGAGTGTCCCAGGAGGAAAGGTCAATATTTTCGGAGGTCATAGTATCGGTCATTTTAGGCAAAAACTGTATATGTATGTCCTATTCCGAACGGTTTCCGTGAATGAGCTATTGCTCATAATAAAGAGATATTACATACTGTTTCTAATAAAAACAAACTCCATGGCCTGTAGTCCGCAAGCGAACTATACCGACCGAGCGACCGCCGCTTGTCGGCGAAGTTAGTGCCAACTTTTGCGGGTAGAGGGTGTCACGTCGTCAGCGCAACGGATCATCACAGCCGTTAATCTCGGTTTTCTGGGCCGGAGCCACGACTTTCCCATTCAAGTAGCTCCTCAATTATCCCCACGAGGCTGAGTGGACCCCGTTCCAGACACACTACTTCTCAGAAAATCTGGTAGCGCCGGGAATCGAACCCGGACCTTTGGATCTGTAACCAGTAACTCTGACCACTAGACCACAGAGGCGGTCGTTCTGTTTCTCATACCAGTATTTATTGTTCAAGTGACAAAATTGATATAGTTTACCTAGTATAACACATTTTCGAAAGTTCCATCGCCAGCAAAAATGAATTTTGGAGCCCCTGTGAGGACATGGCGTGTTGCTCGTCTGTACAGTGAAATAGCTGTGTCTCGGAAACCGTACGGAATAGGGCACGTACATATACATTTTTTTTTTGCTTGGAATGACCGACCCTATAGACTTTCCTTCTGGGACACTCTGTATAACAGTAAAGTATAAGTAGAGGCATTATGCAATGATAAGAGTACCTCATTTCTTTTCACGTTTACGATAAATTATATAGCGAACGTTTTTAAGGAGTCAGATGGGTACTTAAGTTATTCAAAATTACGGGGTTGCTGTTACAAAAGTCAGAAACCGAAATTATCGAAAATTAATGTGAAAATTATTGGCACAATCCGCATATATATATATATAACGAGTTATTACTACTTACTGGGGATGTTTGTCGAATAGGATAGGCAGAAACTCGTCTACAGGTACCAGTTTCTCTAGCGGCCGCGCAGCAAGCAGTTTCCGGGCACCACTCTGACTCAGCAGATAACCTAGTGTCCAGTACGAGTAGCCGGCTCGAACCAGGTACCGTGACCCCGGCACCCATGGCTCGTCGGATTCGTGCAGACGCTTACGTCCCAAGTAACTGCAACAGAACATTTCAGTCACTAAACCATTCGTGCACACGCGGCCGCACTCCAGTATTAGACATTCAACAATTTATTTTTGTTTTGTTTTCATACAAGGTAAAGCTGTCCCTGTGCTTATCTAATTAAGCACTACGCATTGAAGACGTATGGGGGGAGTGGATGTATAGATCCGTATTTTCTTGGCCTCGGCACTAGCTGGAGGTGAGTGGTCAGCTTCATGTCCCGGCCGCTTTACACCTGGGGAAAGAGCCACCGGTACCCATTGGATAGGAGGTTGGGTGAACCCCAGAGCCGGTCTGGACGACGTGGAGAAGGGGAAATTCTTGACCCCACCGGGACTCGAACTCCGACCCCTCAGTCGCCCAGCCCGTGGTCAGTCGCTATTTGGAGAGAAGTAGTGGTAGCTGGAGGTGTAATATTAAAAAAAGTTCTCGGAATAACTAATCGCTTGCTTCCCTTTGATACGAAGCGGACCGCATAAAAACGGGAAAAAAAAGGCAGGTTACACAGATATACAAACAGCATGGCCAACATATAAGCCTCCTTTTTCTTTTCAAAATAAAGAAAGGAGGCTAACAATGAATCTTCAAGATACAATACTTGAGGGCGAAGACTGAATTCATCTGACTATAACAGGGTTCAGTTCCCAGATACTGTAAATACGAATCGGCTGATCAACTATCAGTTTCACAAGGACTCTATTTAATGGAGCTAGTTAGTTCGTTCAATATATAAATCACTTAAAAGTTCGGAAACTTGCATCAAGAATATTTTCATACAACTTACTCACTCACTCACTCACTCATGGAGCTGAGCCCTTCTATAGAAGCCGCCAATTGTGCAGCCACTCGAGAAATGCCAGCATTTTATGGAACCCGAAGGTTCATTACCGTGTTCACAAGAGCCTTCCCTCGGTCCCTGTCCTGAACCAGATCAATCCAATCCATACCATCCCATCCTATCTCTCTGAGATCCATTTTAATATTGTTCACCCACCTACGCCTTGGTCTTCCAAGTGGTCATTTTCATTCTGGCTTCCCCACCAATATCCTATATGCATTCCTCTTCTCCCCCATGCGTGCTACATGCCGCTTTCATGTAACATCGATATAATTGGAGTTTCAGGTACAGTTCCAAGGTCTGCTACATGGACAGCTTTACGAATATAAAACGACAGCGGATATCTCAATTGTCTTCCTTAACTGAGACGCAACGGGACTCTTCAGACGTGCCTGTACAGCGTCTACCAGTTCGACGCCTTAATCAAGTGTGACTGGGCTGGAACTAGCATCATAACAAATTGTCCTCTGTGGTACACATCATGACCAAGTAATTCTTCATTCCTGCCAACTGTATTATACAAGGGACAGAGTTAGGGGTAAATACAAAAATTTATTAAAAACTACGAATTCTTGACCTCAGCACGAGCCGGAGGCGGGTCCTCGCTTTCACACTCCTTCGTTTTACTCACAGGAGGAAAGAGCCACTGATGTGGCGTTGGGCGGGCTCCTATAAGAGGTGGTCGGTCATTAACCTCCAGTCGTCCAACCCCTAATTAATCACGCTGTTAATTCAGCTCCCTTGGCTCACATAACAGATGTAACGTAAAGCTATAACCAGGCCGTGGAGGCCCATAGGGTTGTGCGACGACCAGGCTCCCACATTATCTAGCTAATTGCCTTACACATAGCGGTGAGGTTGTCAGCATTCCGCGCCGGCAGTCCTTTGCACCCAGGAAAATTCCTGGTACTCATTTCTGTTAGACGTTGAGTTGACCCCAGGGCTATAGTGCGGCTGGAAGGATTAGGTCAATTGAAAAATGCAATGACTTCATCGGAAATCGAACCCGCGACCTTCCGGCTTGTAGCAAAGTGCCTCAACCATGCCCTCCGACATACTAGAGGAGCAATAGTGTAATATGTCTGAGTTAGCTATACTTTAGAATTAAATTAGACCCTCAGGTCACATCCCAGTCTCTGCCAGCTCGTCTAGAGCGAGCGCTGCACACGTCTCGAAATGTCATTATAACAACCGCCGGCAAACGGTACTGGTAAAGTTGCCTCTGCGCTTGATGTCATAAAGACGTATGGGAGAGCAGAGGTATAGCTCCACCATTCTTGTCCTCGGCACTAGAACCAGGTCAGTAGTCAGTTTCACGCCCCGGCCACTTTACCCCCGGGGAAAGATTCCCTGGTAGTCGGCGGATGGGAGGCTGTGTAGACCTTTGTGCCGGTCTGGACGATGTGGAGTAGACAAAAATTTCTTGTCCCTGCCGAGAATCGAATCCTGGCACTCCGGCCGCTATACCGGCTGCAGGTACTCATATTAAATATGTTTTTGAGAATACAGTACGAACATTCTGAAAACATGAATGAGGACAATATTTGGACCTGAAGGAGAGGAAGTGAATGAAGGGCGGAGAAAATTGCATAATGAGGAGCTTCGTAACTCTTAACCACATTTCTGCAGCATCATGAGATCCAGAATGGCGCTACAAGCAGACGTTTATAAGGCCTTACAGGAACATCCTATAAACGCTTCAATGCGAAGGCTCTTACATTTCTACATTTTATCCCTTAGAAGACTGCAATAGCTCAGTCGGTATAGCGACGGGCTATGTGTTGGAGAGTTGAGGTTAGATTATAGGAAGAAGCAAGCATTTTCCTTCTCTCCACTAGGAAGAAGCAAGCATTTTCCTTCTCTCCACAGAGTCTAGACACGTTCTAGGGCTCATCCAGCCTCCTATCCAATAGGTACGCGGGCTCTTAACTAGGAGGTTAAGCGGTAGGGGCGTGAAGCTGATCCCACACCTCCATCTAGTGCCGAGGTCTACGCCTTCATGGCGTGGCGCTTAATTAAGCGCAGGGACAACTTTATCCTTTTCCATCCCGTTGTGTTTACAAGACAGTAATAGAACACACAAAGCGAAAAACCACCTGTACAGCTGTACAGCCAGTGAAGGAGAAAAAAAAATTAATGCCGATCACAGTGGCCGCGCGGTATGAGGCATGAACTGTTTTTGCTCGTTCGAAAGCTGGGATCGTGGGTTAAATCCCGCTCAAGGCATGGATGTCTGTGTATGTGTTTATTCTGTGTTTGTGTTGCCCTCTGTTTAGGTACAGGTCTTGCGACGAGCTGATGACCCATCCACGGAGTCCTACCGTCTGTATAAGAAAAGATTACGAAATTGAAGAAGAGGCCAGGGCCCAACAAAGGGCTGTAGAGCCATTGATAAATGAATGAAAAAGATATTTAACTAAACTAATTTCAAACAAGTCCATAGGGTGGTCAACACAATCAACAAAGCTCTCGAAGCAAAACGCTACTGCTCAACAGTGTTCCTTGACATCAGTCAAGCTTTTGACAAGGTATGGCATGTGGGATTATGCTACAAATTAAAACAAGCACTACCACATCAAATGTATGCCACACTGCGATCCTATCTAACACAAAGGTACTACCTCATAAAACAGCAGGAAGTATACACAGACCTGTATCCAATATTATCTGGTGTACCCCAAGGCAGCGTGTTGGGGCCTGTCTTATACTTGCTCTATACATCTGATCTCCCTACAACTCAACAAACAACCACAGCCACGTTTGCTGACGACACAGTTATCCTGGCGTCACACAGCAACCCCCTTATCGCTTCCTTGCACCTACAAAATCACCTTAATCACATCCAACATTGGCTCAACAAATGGCGCATGAAGGCCAACGAAGATGTCTACTCATGTAACATTTACCATGAAACATGACAACTGCCCTTCAGTACAACTCAATAATTCTCAAATTCCACAAGCAGACGACGCCAAATATCTTGGCATGCACCTGGACAAAAGACTCACATGGCAAAAACATATCAAGACCAAACGCACACAGCTCAGAACTAAATTCCACAAGATGTATTGGATGCTGGGACGCCATTCGGAGCTCTCAACAGAGAACAAGATCCTATTATATAAAACTATACTAAAACCGATATGGACCTATGGCATACCCTTATGGGGTACCGCTAGCAACTCCAACATCGAAATTCTTCAACGATTCCAAAATATGGTACTGCGTGTACTAGTTAACGCACCATGGTACGTACCAAACTTCGTCCTACACAAGGACTTGGGAATTCCAACAGTACGCGAGGAAATCACGCTCTCCAGCAAAAAATATCAGGCACGCCTCCGGAAGCACCCGAATTCCTTAGCGACGCACCTCTACGATGAAGAAGAAGTCAGGAGGCTTCGCAGATTCAAACCGTCAGAACTGTTAACCAGATTTGCTATCTAATTTTCTAAAACAATTAACTAGTTGACTATAATTAGTTAAATTACATATAGAACGAGTTCATTGGAACACGTTCTTCATGTTAAATTACTTTTACACTTTTACACTCATCATAACTAGTACTTATTATCCATAATAGCTGGATAGATTGTATAATAAATTGGAGAAATAAAAAAAAATTTCAAACAACACAGGCGGTATCAATTGGGGCAGTCTTCAAACATACACTAGCACACACAGGCATCACTGTGGCACACTGATGGAAAGTCATTACACTTTTGCACTGACATATCAAAACGTTAGAAAGTAATGCATATTAAAAGCGGCTGATGTGGTTACAGGACAGACTTGTTGCATGTTAAAATAGTGTACACCGCAAACCACAATGCATCATTTTAATTAAGTGGCAACTGCCTATGAGTGGGATGAAATTGCGGAATTTACCAGCGGCACAGGGACATGAGCGGGCTCTTGTATAGACTTGATGTTAAAGTGATGTATCTTCTTTAAAATTCAGTACAATAGCACAATATTAACGTATGAAGTTATAACGATAAATAACCTAAAAATAAGAACATTTAACAATAAAAGACTTCTTCTTGTACGACTGCCATCACATAACAATAGCACAAAAAAAAAGAGGAACGAAAAAGTGCACAAAGAGCGATAAAGACACGCATGTAAATTGTTTTCTCATCTCTTGTATAGCAAG